TCTAACCCTAATGTGACTCAGTTCTCTAAATGTAAAATGGGGACAATAAATAATACCTCTGTAAATTTTTTTTGTTTTTTTCCGGTACGCGTCGCGGCCTCTCCCGCCGCGGAGCACAGGCTCCGGATGCGCAGGCTGAGTGGCCATGGCTCACGGGCCCAGCCGCTCTGCGGCATGTGGGATCCTCCCGGACCAGGGCACAGAACCCGCGTCCCCGACATCAGCAGGCGGACTCTCAACCACTGCGCCACCAGGGAAGCCCTGAAAATCAGCTTTTAAGCACTATCTTGACCCGGTTTTGAGGAGCTGACTAGACGTCAGTCAGTTCCCCTTCTTTTTTTTTTTTTTTTTTTTTTTTGCGGTACGTGGGCCTCTCACTTTTGTGGCCTCTCCCATCGCGGGGCACAGCCTCCGGACGCGCAGGCCCAGCGGCCATGGCTCACGGGCCCAGCCGCTCCACGGCATGCGGGATCTTCCCGGACCAGGGTACGAACCTGCGTCCCCTGCATCGGCAGGCAGACTCTCAACCACTGCGCCACCAGGGAAGCCCATCAGTTCCCCTTCTTAAGCAACCAAATAAGTCCACACTTCCAACTACCTCCCTTATCAAACTCTCATACTTCAGGTCTCTAATCATCCCAGGGCCAGGTAACAGACAATTCCTGACAGCCCTTATGGCCCAAAGCCTACTAAAATTATTCAAATTAGCCAATCCTAAATCCGCTGGCCCTGCCTTGCTCTTTCTTTCCTGCAGAAACCCCAATAAAGGTGCTTGCCCACAGTGCACCTCCCTTTGCTTCATTACCCACCCCAATGCTTCCCCGAGTGGCATGCTGCGTTCTCTCCAGAGAACTGTGGGTAGAGCAAAACTGTATGTTTCTGTTTTCTTTCTCTTGATCTGTGTTTGGCCTCACCATACCTACCCAAGGTAAGATGGTTAAAACAACCTGCTCTGCATAACTCACAGATTGGTTAAGAAACATATTAATATAATGGATATGAAAGCCCTTTGAACAGTTGGAGGGATTACAGACATATGATATGGTCAGAAGCACCCTGTTCAGTATTGGAGAGAAGCAAAATATGGTGACAGATACACATGGAGGTAGACATAATTAGTGGCCATCAATATCGAGTTCTCTCCTTACTGGGCACAATGAAGACTATCTCACCTAGATCTCTTGCACCTGGATAGAGCCAAGCAACTATTTCTGGCCAAAAGCTGTGAAGGAAAATGGCATGCTTCACTTACAAAGTGAGACACGGAAAAACCCTGCAAGACATTCTAGCTCTGTCTTCATTTAGCAGTGGATATGGAAACCATGCATGGAGATTGCAGAAACACAAGATCTAACAGCCTAGATCACTGACTCAATATATGCTTGGGAGCCCTTGAGGGTTAATATGACCTCTAGCAACTCTTGAGTGAGAAATAAACTTAGACTATATTCCACCAGAACTCGAGGTATTTTATAGATATTTTTAAAATAATAAGAGAATACTAAGAACTGTCATATGGCTATACATTAGACAACTTAAATAAAATGGAAATATTTTTGGAGAAACACAAATTACCAACAGCACAAGAAGAAATGGAAAATCTGAATAGCAATAGGTCTATTAAAACAATTGGAATTTTCATTTAAAAACTTCTAATAAAAAAGTAGAGGTGTCCTTACTGGTGAAGTCTATCAAACATTTAAGAAATAAATAGTATTTCTATGCCAAGACCTGTTCTAAACAGAAGATGTAAGAACATTTTCAACTTATTTTATTCCTCTGAGTCCAGCACCCGCTTTGGCACACTGAAACCAAAACTGATACCAAAACTGATACCACTTTGGTACCACTGATACCAAAACTAGACAAAGATATCATAAGAAAACTGAAGACCTTCATGAATATAGATGCAAAATTCCTTAACAAAATATTATCATATCAAATATAGCAATACATAAAAATATACATCATGATAAGATGGGGCTTATTCGAGCATTGGCAGATTTGTATAGCATTCTAAAATCAATCAATATAGTTTATCATATTAAGAAAATAGGGAGAAATACCATGTGATTCTATCAATAGATGTAGCAAAATTATTTAACAAATTTTAACACCTATTCTCATCTTTTAATGTGGTGGAGTTATCTATGAAAAACCTATAGCTAAGATAATATTCAATGGTAAAAACTAAACTATTTCCCGTGAAAGACAAAAACAAGGTAAGGAGGTTTGCTCTCACCACTACTATTCAGCTTTGTACTAGAGTTCCAAGCTAGCTCAATAAGGCTAGAAAAAGAAAAAAAGGCATACAGATAGGGAAAGAAAGAATAAAGGTGTTTTTATTCATAGGTATCATAATCATATATAGAGAAAATTCTAAAAAAATCTAGAGAAAAACTTTGAGAACTAATAATAAGTTGAGTAGAGTTTCAGGAAACAAGATACAAAAATAAATTGTATACTAAAACAATTGAAAATTGAATTTTAAAAATACCATTTAGGATAGCATCAAAAAGTAAATACTGGGGAATAAATCTAACAAAATATGTTTAACTTTTGTTCCTTTAAAACTGTAAAACTTTGCTGAGAAAAATTAAAGAGGACTAAAATAAATGGGTGGAAATTACATGTTCATGGATTGAAAGACTCAAGTTGTTTATTCTCCCCCAAATTGATCTATAGGTTCAACTCAATCCCAAACAAATTCTCAGCAGGATTTTTTTAAGAAAGTGATTTGATTCAAAAATGTATTTGGAAATGCAAACATTACAGAATAGCTAAAACAGTTTGGAAGAGAAGAAAAAATGGAGGAATCATATAACTTAGTTTCAAGATCTTCTATAAAGTCAAAGTAAGACATAAGGATAAACAAATAGATCAATGGGAAAGTATTCAGGGTCTGAAAATAGACCCATGCACATATGGTGATTGATTTTCGGGAACCCAAGTAATTCAATGGGAAAAGATAGTTTTTTCAAGAAAAACTGCTCTAAAACTGATTATTTATATGGAAATAAAGCCTGTCCATTACCTCATACCATACACAAAAATTAACTTAAAATGATTATAGGCTTAAATATGAGAACTTAAAACTTTAGAACTTTAGGAGAAAGCATGGAAAAAATCTTGACTTTCAGATAGGCTAATATTTCTAGATAGAATAGAAAAAACACAAGTCATAAAAGGACACATTGATAAATTGAACATCAAAATTTTAAAAATTTGTTCTTCAAAAGATACTAATAAAATGATAGTCTACAATAATATATTTGCAATACATATATCTGAAAAATGATTTGTATTGAGAATATATACCATACTCTTATAACTCAACAATATGAAGACACAATCCAATTTTCCAAATGGACAAAATATTTAAAGGGAAACATCAGAAAAAAAGTAATATAAGCACCTGAAAATGTACTTCAAATCATTAGTCAGCAGGAAATGCAAATAAAAACTACTGCACACCTGGGATGGCCAAAATTTTAAAACACTGGCAGTACCAAAAGTTGGTCAGATTAGTGAGCAAATGGAGCTCCATATAGGAGTGTATGAGAGTTGCTGGTAAGAATATGCCACTTTGGCAAACAGTTGATTCGTTTCCTATAAGTTAGACATACCTTTATCATATTAACCAGTCATCCTACTCTGAGATATTTACCCAAGAGAAACAAAAGCATATATTAACAAAAAAATATATATTCAAAGTGTTCATCATAGGTTTATTCATAATAGTCCCAAACCAAAATCCACCTCAATAGCCATCAACACATGAATAGATGAACAAATTGTGTTTATACAATAAATACCACCCTCCTATCAAAAGAACCAAGGACTGACACATGCATCAAAAGGGGAGTGTCTTGATGAATGGATAAAGATGTGAGATATATATATAGAGAGAATGGAATGAGATATATATATATATATATATATAGAGAGAGAGAGAGAGAGAGAGAGAGAGAATGGAATGTTACTCAACCATAAAAAGAATGAAATGCTGCCAGTTGCAGCAACGTGGATAGACCTAGAGAATATTATGCTTAATGAAATAAGTCAGAGAAAGACAAGTACTGCTATTACTTATATGTGGAATCTAGAAAATAATACAAATGAATGTATGCAAAACAGAAGCAGACTCACAGATACAGACAACAAACTTATGGTTACCAAAGGGGAGAGGGAGGAGGGGAAGAAGAAATTAGGGTTATTGAATTAAAAGATACAAACTACTATGTATAAAATAGATAAGCAACAAGGGTATATTGTACAGCACAGGGAATTATAGCCATCATCTTACAATAACTTATAATGGAGTATAATATGCAAAAATATTTAATCACTACGCTGTATACCTGAAACTAATATAATATTGTAAATCAACTGTACTTCAGTTTTTAAAAGGTTGTGTCTCAAAAACATTATTCTGAGAAGAAAAAAGGAGTACAAAGTATGTACTGTATGATTCCATTATATGAACTTCTATAATATGCAGACCTCCTCTGTAGTCACATAAAGAAGATCAATCGTCACAAGCCAAATATGTGATCATAGGATGGACTATAAACAAGTAGGCCTTCCTACTTTCTGGAATGATGGAAATTTATATCTTTACTGTGCTTGTGGTTACACGTATGTACATATTTACCCAAACTCATTGAATTGTACACTTATAATGGGTTCACTTAAATGTATGTCAATTACATCTCAATAAAGTTTATTTAAGTTTTAAAAAGGTAATCAGTGAAAGGTACAGGAAGTTTAGCTATATGAAAACAAACAGGACCTGAAATGTATTTTTAATTCCTATTTCATGGTAGAAATACAGAGAAAAAAGGATTCTAATCATGTTCAGATGCCCGTATCTATCTCTGAGTGTTGTGTGTATAAGAATGAAGTTAGCATGTGTGCCCTAGCCGTCCATTTAAAAGAATCATCTGAAATAGGAATATCAAAGACATCGATGAAACAAAAGTTTGAACATCTTCTTTTACCTAATCAACACAGACTTTCTGGAAGCAACAAAGAACTTGAAGAAAGATGCATCTTCTTTCACTGGCACCGCCCAACCCCTTCAATAAAAAACAAACAGAAGAAATCAAAAGATGAGAAGAGAGAGACTTGTGTTTGAATCCCAGCTTCTCTATTTACCAGCCTTGTGATTTTGGCAAGTACTTAACCTTTTCCAGACTTGCTCTTCTCATCTGTTAAATGAGAACAGAAAAGATAATTCATGAATTCTTTGCAAATATTAATAGAATACCATATGGAAACTGCTTAGCAAGGCTTGAAATATAATATATTTGCAGTAAATAATGGTTAGGAAAAAAAGGTAGCTCTTGTTACGTCAGGTTTTTGTCATATATTCCTTTTTATTTTATATCAGCATGTGTTCCCCAGAATTGCTGGGGTTTCAATAGCCTTTAAAGCACCGTAAGTTCTGCTGTTAGAATATATTCAAATTCTTTAGGAATAAGATAATACACAAATGTTTTACATGTTCTGTTACCATTTTTCTCTTTGTTGTTTGTTTCTTCTATAGGAAAATTAATGGAAATGCAAAAGGAACGTAGAGATGACTAATTTCAGAAGCCTAGGGAAACCAGAGGGGATAGATATGGCAGTTTAAATTTAGGCTGAATTTACTTTATTCTGCATAGTGTGAAAGGAAATGATGTCACCATTTGGACTGTGAGGAAGTAGGAAATTCTTATCTGACCTTGTGAATGATGAGACATCTCAAAGTCTTATAAATGTAATGGCTGACCATCCTCAATGTTTAAATCGTACCCATCATTCAGGCTTATTCAACTATTTATTTACAGTTTCTAAATTTATTGAAATCTGTTCAACTGCTTTCAGGCAACAAACAGATGGAGTTTAGGATTGGTGAATTCAAATCATCAAGCTCACAAATAGAGAGAATGGACTCGGTCTAAGAACAGACTGCATTGTTGAAAATAAAACGTAACTTTTATACACCAGCGTTTAACTGCTGGGAAGTTCCAAACACTGATGAAAACAGTTGGCTGTCCATCTGGAAAAGGTATTTAAAATTAACTAAAATGCAGAGTTTTATTTTAAGGTAACAATTGCTTCCTATAGCTGCCCATTCTGTTCAAAAGTAGGCCTCAAAGTCATAAAATATAACATTGGAATCTGTTAAAGGCTAAACTGCGGCATATTAAAATGTTTAAGTTTTTTTGAGCAAAAATCGATTTCAATTGAGTAGTGCCAAACCAGAAGTGTTTATGAGTACTCCACCTACAGGACAGATTTTTATGGAGTAAAGGCAGAAGCAGAGTAAGGAAAAACCATTGACTGGCTATGGCTTAAAGTCTACTTGGCTGTTTGTGATTGGTTGCCCTTAGGGTTCAATTTTGAGGCATTTACAGGCTTAGATTTTGGTTTGCTTACATATGCTGCCATGGTGTAGAGCAATATCAGTCTCATGGCCTCCTTATTTAATTAATTTAAATCTCAATAATCTCAATGCTGAGATATCTTCTGTAACTCTAAAAGTTACCGTGAATCACTTTAAAATTGAGAGAGGTTGAAGGTAGTAACTAATGTCAGCAATTTATGATGAATTCAAACTATGAAAATGCCAGATGCTAGGTTGTAAGATATATATGATTGCATTTAACAAGGTTTTCTTTTCACACAATGATTCAAGGATTTTAATAACATGTTCTAATCAATAGCAAAATGCCTGACCAAAGCTATTAGCCTCAGCATTAGAAGGCTAAAAGGTAATACTATCCCAACGATATCATAGCTATTAAGATAGTATGGCAGCAGTTAGCCTGGACATATGGTTAAATTACTTACGTGTTACCCAGAATAAATCAGGGAGCAGACACACCGCTTTTCAGAATTAGAATCACAATGAACCCACACAGCAGGTCTGCAGCTGGTGAGTAAATCCTTTTGGGAATCTCATTCTGCCCCCGCAAATATGCAAGTTCCTAATCCTGGCCACAGGCTTACAGGTCATTGTAGCAACAGCAAAGTAGTCTAGTCTCTTCCATGACTACAAAACTCCCCTGTGTATTCATTAGCCAATGCTAACTTTAAGAAAGGTGAGATAGACACAGGGCCACCAAGACATCCATGGGTTCCTCCACATGTCACAGCCTCCCTTGCAGTTGGGTCGGGGCCAGGAACTGGATTCTGAATAATGGAAAAGAGTGGAAGTGATAAAACTTTTTGTGGCCTATTGAAAGCCTTTCATCATGGGATCCACTCCTTTTTTCCCCTTCTGTGGCAATGCAAGAAGTTGTGGAAGCAGCCCAGGACTTAGAATTCACTGTGTGAATAGAGACCCAGGAGACATGTCCAAGACACACTAGGTGTTGCCTCAGAAAGATATGAACATCCTCTTTTCTGTTATTGTTATTAAGCCAATGGGGTTGCAGGATTTATTTGTTACTGCTGCATAGCTGACCATATGCTGACTAATAAAAAGGATCTTCCTGTTTTGACTATAACACAGTGGAAAATACTTTTGATTCCTTTTATGCCTGATAAATCCCTGAGAGATTTCTGTGAGAAAAGATAACTTTGCTTGATATTCAACCAACAAGAAGGCTTAGATGTATAAAAGAGTAATTTCAGCCACTATCCAAAATTAAGAATCATATAACCTTCCATTTGTACAGCCATATCAGCTTTTTTCATAAAGCTTCATGCACACATCTTCACAATAGCCCTAGAGCTTTTTTTTTAAGTGTATAAAAGCTCAACTTTACAATTGAACAACGTGAGTAATAGCAGGATTTTAAGCGAGATGTCCGGGAACTCAGCTAGTGAGAGCACAGATGAGACAGGCTGCTGCCTTTGGTCCTTCTGTAATCAAGAAATGCTCCAAGCTTTCAGCCTTGTTGCAGATTTTTACAAGCTCCTCTTTTAATAACCTTTCTCCGTTGCATTCCTGACTTATTACCTCCCTGGCTCCCAGCACTCTTATTTATATGCAGACTCATTCCAGATGCACATCCCATTGTTTATGCTGTGTTTACTATGTTGTCTCCTAACTAGAGTCCATTATCTGCTGAAACAAGAAGGATGTTCACGAATAAAACACAGCTTGCTTGTGGCTGCCAGACGAGCCGAGCAAAGATGTATCTTTGCTGATGGGGAGTAACCTGCTGTTTTCATATGAGCTTCCCCTTGGGTGGCTGCAACAGTAGGAGAAGGACTAGAGGGCTGAGAGCATGTGACTTACTTCAGGGAACCAAGCCAAGTGTCATTTCAAAGTCTCACTTCCAGGCAAGCTTTGCCCTCTGACCAGGAACCAAGCTGCAGGGTAGATGGGCCACACTCAGAGCTTCTGATAGACTCGAGATCAGGGAGGTTGCACTTGTAGTCAAATCGACTTAAATAGAAGAAAGAAAGACTGTGAAGGTGGCTGGAAAATACCTGACCTAAATTAACCACTTGGAGTATTGAACATAGCTCAAAGCCAGGTTCAAAAGCTGTCTCTACACTTCTTGTCTGGATCATACATCTGGCCTGTTTAGAGAAATAACAAGGAGAGATGCCTAGCTTAGGTGGTGGGGGTAGGTGTGGCATGAGGGGCTGAGCACAGGGTGAGCCACTCTCACCAAGAGCCACAAGCCAGGCTGGGCCCCTCCCTCATCCCTTCTGCCAAGTATTAACGGCCATTATGGAAGCTGGTAAAATGTAGACTAATGTAGATGTAATGTAGAGCCTGCTGGCTTTGAAGTCAGACCATTATGTTTTCAAAATCTGGCTTAGCACTTAATAGCTGGGTGACCTTGGTCGAGTAATTTAACCTCTGTATGACTTGGTTTTCTCATACGTAAAATAGGAGGTAAGAATAACTACCTTTGTTGATTGTGAAGATTGGGAATTATATATACAAACGTTCATACACATATATAATGCTTGGTGTGGCATAAGCCCTGGCATATGATCAGCCCTCCGTAAATGGTAACTTTTTAGTCATTTTTATAATTGTGATTATTACATGAAAAACTGCTTATTTGTGCTCTTGCTCTGCTCTACCTCTCACCATCTCTATGAAAACCATCTGTGTAGTATCAACACCTAAAAACAAACAAGCCCCTTTCGTATGGAATAGAAAGCCAGCAGAGGGCCAACACTTAGTAGATACTCAATATTTCAATTTCTTGAATTGAATTGAATTGAACCCAATTGTGCCCCAAATTTTATATCCATAGGCAGCTTCCTTGGTTTGCTTTATTGGCTTTGATATTCCTCTAAAAATTAAGCTTGGCTTACTCCTGCCTGGAGCTTCTGAGTGTTTTGGCTGAAGTTATGAAATGTGTATGACTTTTTGTGTATGAAGAGTTTTATATTTGATCATGTGCTTTCACATAATTATATTAATACTGGGTGAATTAGAAAAAAAAAAAAAGAACAAAACTGATGGATCACATTTCTATCTGTATACTACCCATTTTGGACTGGTCTTCTGAAAAAAGTAGAAGAGACCCACAAGGAGGCTTCAGAATTATAGCTATGGGTGAGAGTTTAATATTGTAGAATACTAGTGTCATGGCTTCTAAGGCTGTGGCAGTGTCTTAAGATTAGAAGGGAATTTAGAGGTCATCTAGTCCTACCCCACCCCAGGCACTGTCTGCCAGCTCCTATCAGGGAAACTGTGAACAGCAGTGGCTCCACAGGCCCTGGCACCAACCCCAGTTCATACTGCCAGGCCCTGGGGCACCAGATGCCCACAGCTAAGGAGGGTCTAAGGAGGGTCTAGGGCTGTGAGAATCGTTTTGACCACTGCATACCAAGGAGTCTTGCCTAGTTGTCTCCATCCTACGAAATTAAACAGTAATAGGCAAGGTTTATTGAATTAAATATGCTTTTAAGGCACAGAGCTTGAGAGTATACGTGTGTTCATACGCACTCATATGCACATTTCAAGGTCTAGATTCAGTTAATACTCACAACGAGGACACACAGTGGGCACACAGCACAGTGCAGTTCACACACGACCTCTTACTCCTGGAGATCACATATTACTTTTTAAAGAACATCTGATATGCTTATTAACATAGATTTCATTTAGCGCATACTTCCTTCGTGAAAATGTATCTTAGGGCATGCATTTGTAGTGCTTCCTTTATACCCCTGGGAGTGAGGGGCTGGAGGTGGAGTCACCATCTGCAAGCTTAAGTAGTTTAAGCCCCAGTCCAGGCAGTGACCAGTTGAGTGCATGGGTCCCATCCTGTCCCTGCAAGGGCTAAGTTTCTACAGAACTAGGCTTGGGTAGGGATGTCTGCTCCCTTAGCTGCACGCCCAAAGGTCTATTTACATTTTAAATCACTGTTGTGTCATCGGGTTACATTTTGATAGCTGCCAAGTAGTTAAGTTCAGAATTTTTACTCTGAACCGTAAACAGTTTACTTTTCAAATTGCATGATTTTTGAAGTTTTTATTCCTCACCATCACTAAGAAAGCTATCAAGTTTTGGAATTTCATGGAGAAATGTGAAGTGGCCTTTGTAAGCGCCAGATGAACCCTCTGAGGCCTGACATTCTCAACGTGATGGCTCTATTTACATATATATTGTCCTTCCTAGGAAATGCTAGAGGTGTGGCTTTGGGATTACTGTATCTAGGCAGCTCTGGCTGCCATAGGGGCCTTGTCTTTCTTATATTCATGTATGCATTCATTCATTCACTCACTCACTCGTTTATTTATTCATTCAAAAAGAGTTTATCGTTTCATCTTTGATATCTGGGGAAGTCTGGGCTCTTGTTCTGCCATTAAGGAGGGTGTCAGGAGTCAGGAGTCAGGTGCCTAGAGTAGAGAAGCCAAGCACTCAGGTTGATAAGAACATCGAACCTTAGCAATTTTTGTCCTGCCCAAAGAATTTTCAGTCAAATAAAGAAATTGTATGGCTGTTCACCTGTGGTTCATTTTGAGTATCTGAGATCCTTCTAGAGGCCTTCTCAAGAAAACCAACTTGTATTTATCCTTGCATTAGACTGGTTTTTCCCTTCGCCTCCCTTCTCCTTGGCTTGAGTTTTCTGGACTCAGCTCATTAAGTCTTGCTGAGAAGGCAAATAAAGCTCCCCTTCAAAAATGGGGCTGAGGAAGGAGCAGAATTTCAGGGCGTGCCACGCCTGCAGTGAAAAAGTTATACCAGCTCCAGTGCCTACCACGTGTGCCAATAACTCCAGCGAGAGCGGCAGCAGTGATGTTAATTACAATGATCTGAGCGGTAATGATGTCGCAGGCTCTGGACTAAGGGCAAACATGTATCAGTCATCCAATGGGATGCTTACAAACCACCCTGAGAAGTGGATTTAGTGTCCCCTCTTTACAGATGGTAAAACTGAGAGCACAGAAGTCACGCCGGCTACCCAAGGCCCTCCTCCAGGCAGCTGAGGTGCGATTCAAAGCAGCCATTGGGCTATGCTACCTCCCTCAGCCAGTTACCACAGCAAAAAGGCAAAGAATGGTATTTTTAAGCTTTTTAAGCTGGAGTTTTTAAGCTTTTATAATGTCCCCATATTTATTATCTGTTTCCTCATTTTGCCTGTAGTGTTAATCAGTAAGAGTCAAACAGACTCTGACATTGGAGAATTCCAAGGGATATAAGAGGATAAGGACAGTAAAAAGAAGGCAAAGGTAGTCTGAGTTGATAGATCCTGCTTCACGGAAGAAAGCAACCTGAGACCTAGATTTAGGAAGAGTTTCTGGGATATAACCATCACAAGGCCTCCATGCTTCCCCACAAACACCTGAAAGTTTTACAGAAGGATAGAGAACCTTACTACATAAAGAATGAGAAGCTTAAATCAAAATACAGTTTTTGGACGTGTTCATTGTTTTCCATCACTTGACCTACTTAGTGCTCCTTAATCAGGAATACATACACAGCCATGCAGCTGAGATTGAGCACACAAATTGAGATGAAGAAAGATGGTTAGGAAAGTATCTGGCTGGTGTGCATTCAGTTCATTCATTCAAGAAATGAACAGATTCTGAGGCCCACTTCAGGGCTGGGTGCCAGGATCAGCAATGAGAGAACAGGGAAATAAAGCACAGCACCCTTGCCCTTGAAGAACTGATAGAGTATATTGTAGCGGGGTGGGAGGAGTAACAAAGATGATCCACTCAGAGGAGTAAAGGCTCCACACTCACGTGTCAGGTGTGGGGGACACAAGGCAGTGGCTGAAATGTCTTAAGGCTATACATTTTCCTGGGTGACCAGAGAATAAGCACACATTTTTGCCTTGGCAATGTGGTTCTCACACATGGGAGTGGAGAAAGCCAGAATGCGAGCACATTCTGTGGAGGAAGAGAGAGAGAGATGCTCAGAGCTTGCACCTCTCCCTGACAATGAGAGAGCAGCGTGGAGGGCCAGTTCAAGGCAAGCCACAGGTCCACAGATGGGGAAAGATTTAAATTCCCAAAACAGGTCACATATGCACTGGGCAATTGTGTTAACCTTCACATTTACATTTTTGTTTTAAACAACATAGAGTGGCAATGGAGAGATGAGGTCTGGTAAAGAGTCACTAGGGTGATAATACTTGCTATTAATGTTGAAGGCTGGGAAACAGTATATCAAGGAAAAAGGAAAAGAAGAGAATTCCAAGTGGAGGAAACAGTGTCTTCAAAGAAGGTGAGGGAGAGCAAGGTGATTTGTCCTCCTGACACTCAGGGGTGGGCCTTCCTTCCACTCAGGGTCACCACAGGTAAAGGAAGATTCCAACATGAGTTGGTACCTTAAGGTGTGTCTCCCACAATAATACTGACAACAAAATGCACATTATTTTTCTTTTGCAAAGGATTGTACCCCCATCATCTAGTTCCCAAAGGTGGAATTTAGATCATGTATTTTTAAAATATTTATGGAACACATTATAGTCCTGGCCCCAAGGAAATACTGATGTGAGAGGGAAAGAATCTGGGTCGGGGGTGACAGAGCTGATGTTATACCTCATAAGGCCTCAAGCTAATGGTCCAGTAATGTAGGCAGAAGGCACTCATATCTCTGAAAATAAGACAGTAGATAATAGATGTGAAGTGGTTAAAACAAGCCAGGTTCTTGACGAGAGCAGACCTTGGAGGAGGAGGGGGCACTCCTTCTTTGCCAAATGAATAAAGTGGCTTGACAGATGGGGCAAGGAAGAGGGTGTTGGGCATTCCAGGAAGAGAGCATGTTATATAGTAATGCAGAGCCACCAGTGTGGGGTAAATTTGGGAATGATAAAAATTATGTAAAGTATATATCAGGGACTCCCAGAAAAGAAAGATTAGAGCCAGATTCTAGAGGGCTAGGCTAAGCTTAACTTTTAGTAGACAATGGGGGACCCTTGAATTTTCTTAAGCAAGGCAGTGACTTAAGAAGATGAACCTGTCAGG